ACGAATAGTGCGGCCTCCGTCGTAGTCATGTTGCAGACGCCTTGGAAATCATTATCGCATCGATTGCGAGCTATATTGTTTTCATCTATCATTATTCCTGTTGGGTAAAATAGTACCTCCTGCTGCTAAACCAGAAGTGACGAAAGAAAACGAGAAACACGAAGAAGACCTCCCTATGCCTCATAAATATGTGGAAAATAGCTGGAAAATCACCCGTCTCTAGCTCTTCCTTATGTAACGTCAGTTTCCTGAGAGAAGAATTCTACGAGGGAAGGGACGATGAAAAAGCTCCTGATCTCCTTTGTTGTCCAGTTTCCCACCCTTTTCCATTCAATGCAGAGCTCTCCAAAAATGAAAAGCAAGAATGTCCCCACCAGCGAACAAACCTCAGCAAGTGAGGAGCCTGATTTCAGGGAAGACATGCAACAGAATCGTCCGGGGCAGCGCCCGCGGCACGCGGCGCGTCGCGCGGCGAATGACTGACTCAGCAGCTCACTTACGTGCATTTGCTAGCCGATAGCTTTGCGACTGGAGCAAATGATTTACTACAGCGTACATCCGCAACATTTAGCAGGTTTCAGGTTTCATCAATGATTGAAAATCTAATGATGTTTTTCTTGATAGTAACACACAATTGTTTGGCGGTTCCATAAACGCAACTTCAGGAAATAAACAGATACAAAAGAAATCAGATAAGGCCGTGATTCTCCCTATGTTTATGTGGTTCACATGATTTGCGCAGTCGCCAGCGTCAATATAATAGACGGATGGCCAAGTTTTTCTGTGAGCTGCTGTAAAAGATGACAAACCAGAGCAAATGTTAAAGACCCCAATGAATTTCGTGCTCTATTGAACTTTTTCATACTCTAACTGAAAACTTAACCGTAACTGAACACAAGACTCGATCCTGGGTGATATCAATATTTACCTTCCCTTCAATAACCCTATTCAAACCGCCAGAAGCACGCTTCGTCTTCTCGCCGCAAGTATGTCGCAGGCCACGCCCACCAGCTGCACCGGGCGATTCTGTTGCTACACACCCTGATTTCAGCAATGCTGATGAAAAGGCTTCGCCCTAGACAGAATTTCAAGGCAGATATGTCAAATCTGCTATAACAATAGCAACTAAGCTGCTGAAAAAAGTGCATATTTTATTGGAACCCGGATACTACCGTGAAAATAATCGATAAGGCCTGATATCTGATACCAGTACATCATGATCAAATACCTTTCGTGACCGTATATACATGAATGTACAAAAGTATCGAAGACAATGGTTGGAAAAGAGCGCATAAATTAGTGTAATGAATATATATGTAATTATCTTAAACCAGCACACTAAACATAACTACAAGTCTGTACACTTTTTACGCTACATCCCAAACGGCTTAATGGCGAAGATGATCGTTCAGTTATACCACGATGAGGACTTCCTTTTCTTTTGCGATTTCTGAAATAATAATTTATAGATAATGTGTGCTGCTTATTGTTATTACTGTTGTTAATAATGAGTTATATTGTCCTGTTACTTCAATCTTACTTGCTCATCATTTTTGTTAGCCTATTAATCGGAGCCATTCCGCAGTAGTTCATCATCACCATAGCCTCAACGTCGTGTATCTACGAAGGGTCGAAGACTACCGCGCCAGAATCGATAAGCACCGCCGTCGTGCTATTATGAATAAGAGCGGGGTGGGTTTAGCCGTACCTATCAGTACACTTCTTCAACTTCCGCTTCCGCCTCGTAATTGCCTTTCAACTACCCCTCTGCTGTATTGTGCTTTAACAGATAAATAGTGTGAGCACGGGACTGCATACACCTGCCATTCAACAGTAGCACACACAGATATAATCTAATCTACAAATTCAAATAACAATAATTCGATAATGATTCGATCGTATACTTCTCTACATTTGTATACTCCTTCTTATCACTAGATTCGAGTCGAGACATGTTTGTTGATCTTAATTTTGAAGGCATTCCATTCGCCTTTCATTTCCATTTGTAATGTATCGTCTTTGTCCCTTTTGAGGAGGTGAGCTGGCAGTATGTTTTTACCCACTACTGTGGAGTTGAGCTGTGTACCAATAGTTTGATGACCCTACAAGGTGATGAACCCTTCGCTTAAAGGCTGTATCCGCATCCATTTGATGTTTCCTACGCCCTCTTTGGATATCGTAGCTCTTCCTACAATGAAGGATGTACAAATTTCGCAGCTCAAAAATACGAGAGATTAGAGCGGTCCGCTCGGGTTACGTGGCATCTTGAACTTTTGTGCATGGTCCTGTTACGAAACCCTGTGACGCAGACGGATAGAGGGCAGCGGCTGCCAAAGCATCGAAACGTGCAAAAAACGTATGGCGAGCCAGGAAACGGGATTTTTCAAGGGGAGGGGACTCCGGGGTGGGTGAGCTACTTATAGTCGGTGAAAAGCTGGAGTGAGCGAAGTCACAACGGCCATAGAGTGCCATGCGGACGAGAGAGTGCAGAGAAAAAGAGAAGATCGACGCGTTTAAAGGGATTGAGTTCAAGTTGTCCGGACTGTCCGCTCGTGAAGATGATGCCGCCCCGCACATTGGCGGTCACACGCCCAAAGTCCATTTCCAATAGTTGCCTAATGGTGTGGTTGTTCCGTTACTACCTTTCTCTACTTTGAATAGTGAGAGTGCGAAGATAAGGGAAAACAACTGATACCAACAGGTGAGAATTCGTGCGACAACGAGAGTTTTTACATAGGGCATTCCCCACAATTATTTTTTCGATTTTTTTTCTTCACTACGGAATCATTCCGAATCACACCTTCTCAATCACAAACGTCCCATTGGGGTCGGAACTCACGGAACGGAGTGGAATGAGCAGGGTGAAAGGCTGTCTGAGTTTATCATGTCGACCCATACCATCCATGGTAACTCGCAGTTCCAGAAGCCCTACTCTCTACGCTGGACATGGGAGTCTCCTGGTGGACAATTCCATAACGAGATCGACCACATCTCAATCGAAGGTTTTGCCTGACCGATGTCGCTGTTGTTCCCTAAGTTCTACACGGGATCCGACCATCGTCTCCTTCGCGCAAGATTCCGCTTTTCGATGCGAGGAGAGAGAGCGGCAACGTTCAAGAAGCGAAGCCCCAAGACCGTCATTAACTGGGA